GAGCAGGGCCTTTCCCTGATCTTAGAGTTCTGTATCTCAAAAACTAGCACATATGGGGGGAGACTGTTGCCATGTTTGGAATAAAGATTGGGAGAAGAACCACAGGCATCTCCTTGGAGCTCATAGGCACTAACAAATGAAGAGGATTTCTGTGTGGTCTGTGATGTTCCCTCTGGTAAAATATAGCAAAAGAAAATTCACTGGGTTGCTGTGAGTTTTCCAGGCTGTATGGCAATGTTTCAGAGAAGCTATTGAAATCCATTTCAATCCAGTATTTAAAAAAACTCTAATATTAGGACAGTAAATAAAAGAGGAACACTTAAAACACAGGGGAATTCCAGAAAGGAAACAATCAGGGCCAGCTAACACCTCTCAACAAAGGATTCCCCCAGGCAGGAAGCAGCAAGGCCATTTGATGCTAATCAAGGTGGCCAGTTGTAACATTCACACCTACCTCCAACAGACAAGAGTTCTTTCTCCACCCTGGACATTCCACAGATATATAAACCCCACTTGCCTAGTTTCCAACAGACCTCACAACCTCCGAGGATGCCTGCCATAGATGTGGGTGAAACGTCAGGAAAGAATGCTATCGGAATATAGCCATACAGCCCGGAAAACTCAGCGATTCCAGCCATGAAAGCCTTTGGCAACAAATTATTCACTGCTTTTCACTTTTGTATAGATTATCTGCCCCAAATCCCAGTAAATATAGAGGACTAGCTGTACAGTTTTCAATTTAGATGGGGTTAAAACTTCATGCCTGCCTTGGAGCAGAAACAGGTTGGTGAAGGCCAAAAGGAGATTGTAAGAAGAACAGCAAATGTTCAAGAAGCAGTAGCATTGTGAACGGGAACCTTAAAAGAATGAAAAAGATCCCCAAAGCATTGGAAAGTATCTGACTCCAACATGTGTGTTTTTTCAAGCAATCAGCCACTTCTTTGGCAGTGGACTTTTTGTAGCATATTTCCTACACTGCAGGATTTCCGCTCATTTGACCTCAAACTAAAAGAAGTGAGGAAAGTTATTGTTCCTATTATGGAACAGGAAGTGAAGCAGAGAAAGGGAACTGCGTATCAAAGCCAAGTCCACCTGTTTAGTGCTAGTATGACATCGAGCTAAACTCAGATCTCCCAGAGGCAAATTCACTATCACAACACCTTGTATGTACTTCTCAGCATCCTCTTGGGGACATTTATTTCAGTTAAAACTCGGTTTTCCAGGCTGTCTGGTCATGTTCCAGAAGCATTCTCTCTTGACGTTTCGCCCACATCTGTGGCAGGCTTCCTCAGCGGTTGTGAGGTCTGTTGGAAACTAGGACAAATGAGGTTTATATATCTGTGGAATAATGTCCAGGGTGGGAGAAAAACTCTTGTCTGCTTGAGGCAAGTGTGAATGTTGTAATTGGACACCTTGATTAGCATTAATAGCATTGCTGCTTCAAAGCCTGGCTGTTTCCTGCCATAGATGTGGGTGAAACATCAGGAGAGAATGCCATACAGCCTGGAAAACTCACAACAACCCAATAATAATATTCTGATGCAAAAAAACAGGAAGGAAAGATATCGTGACCATATTGCAGGTCAATGGCAAGAAGACAAGGTTACTTTAAAAAAACATAGATCGATTTCATATTGAAACTGTAAGAAATAACATACTTTTCATATGTGACATGTGTGCTCATTTGATTGATTACAGAACCACTTCAGTAAAAATCCAGCAGTTTATGTCTGCTGTATTTTAGCCAGGTGCTATTTGTGCTTGATCCAATTCAAATATTGTTGCCTAAGGCAAGCAAAATACTCTAGCTAACCAGCTTCCAAAATAGTTAGTAGGGCATCACAGTGCCAGAAGCAATTACCTTTTCTGCCTACCTCATCTAAGCCCTTGGCATAGGATCTATCAAAACAGTTCCTGGGAATACACTTGGATTGACAAAGTCATTTATTGACCTCTGAGCATCTGCTCAAAGGCACAAAAGCAAATAATAAAGCGAACTACCTCAGTCAGCTCCAAAGCCCAAAGTGGCTCTTATCTTTTATTGCAATTTACACTATATACAGAAGCAGGATAAAATATGTCCATTCACTTAGCTGCACATTGCTGGAAGCAGGAACCACATGGCTATCTGATTTCTGTGGAATGTAAACACATTACTGGAACACTCCAAAGTCACGCTCTAGGAATAAAGCACGGCTCTATGCATTTAACTATTACATTGCATTGCTATACCACACAGTTTAAGCTATTACAATATTTCATCACATTTAAACCACCATATTCTGAAAAAGAAGGTTAAGGATCCTTTACATTAAGCATCACTTTGTGGCACAACTATTCTGAGCTGCCTTGGAAATGCAGCATTCTGTGGTTTGGTGCCCACTCTTTTCCTCAACCTTGATTAGTAGGGAAAGGTTGGTGAAAAGAAAAGAAATGTTCTTGCTGTTGTTGCTATAAAGGTCTCTCCTCCTCACATAAGCAAGATAATACAGTCGCCCACTGGAAACTCCAATTCGTATGGAGCATGGAGATGAGAAAAGAGAAGAACTACACAAAGTCTATACATGATCTGAATGGGCTCTTTTATGGATCTTTTATGGAGCTAATACTTAAAGTCCTAGGTGAACACAGAGATCATCAGTCCTTGGCAGAAAGAGAACAGAGAAGGTGACAAACAAGCTTCCTATGGAAGGGAAAACTATAACCCGGGGAACCCATCAAGAGGAATCTTGTAACTGTGTCATCCCAGGACATCTTGATGCTTGACACAAAGGATGAAATGACACCCTCTGGTGAACAGAATAATAATAATAATCATCATCATCATCATCATCATCATCTCTATTTGTACCTCGCTACCATCTTCCCAAGGGACTCAGTGCGGCGTACATGAGGCCAAGTCCAGAATACAACAATAAACAATAACAACAATAATACAAAACAATAAATAAATTCATAAGCAAAAACAAGCAATAAACATTAACAATAACAGGACGCGTTTAAAATCCTATGGCTGGGAAGCAAACACAATGGCCAGCTATATCTTATTTCAATACTGTCTATAAGATAGTGCCTCCTACTGCTTCAGAGAGCAACTAGGGAGATGAGGAGTTCGGAAGAGGTTTGAGATAGATAGATGATAGATAGATAGATAGATAGATAGATAGATAGATAGATAGATAGATAGATAGATAGATAGATAGATCCCCAGGGAGTCAAAAGGACTGAAGGAGCTCTCCCAGATGTCTTCAGCACCTGTCTATCAAATAAACAGTACCTTTGCTTTCTATTAATGGTAGGGCTGAGATTGTCTACTTGAGTGCTGTGTGAAACAACATATTGGATTACACAGTGTGAGAGAGAGCTGTCCGGATTCTTCTTTAATCATGGTTTAACAACCTGGTTGTTGTGTGCCTTGAAGTCATTTCCAACTTAGGTCAATCCTAAGATGAACCTACCGCCCTGAGTTGCCTTCAGGCTGATATGGGCGGGATAGAAATAATGTAAATAAATAAATAAACCTATCATAGGGTTTATTTGTTTAAATGATGTTTCCCATTGATTCCTCTGATACTGAGAGAGGGTGACTGGCCCATGGTCACTGATATTATATTATAGTGGATTTCCATGGTTGATTGGGGATTTGAACCCTGGTCTCCAAGGTTTTAGTCCAGTGCTCAAACCGCTACATCACACTGTGTATTTTTAATAATTTATGTTAATAATTATGTTTTGCTTGTCTTGTAGCTGCAGTGAAATGTCTTCCTCTGAATTTCTGAAGGATAAGAAAATTGAGCAAGTCAGTCTTGTTGACAAGGTGAGTTTGAAGAGAAGGTTGGACTTTCATGTCATTCGACCTTTTGCAAATGAAAACTGGGACAAGTGTGAACAAGCTGAAGAAGAAGAAGAAGAAGAAGAACAACAACAACAACAACAGGAAAAACTCAGCCAGTATCAAGACTTCAAAATTGAACTGCAAAGGCTCTGGCATAAACCAGTACAGGTGGTCCCAGTGATATTGGCGCACTGGGTGCTGTGCCAAAAGATCTCAGCCGGCATTTGGAAACAATAAACATTGACAAAATCACGATCTGTCAACTGCAAAAGGCCACCTTACTTGGATCTGCATGCATTATTCGAAAATACATCACACAGTCCTAGACGCTTGGGAAGTGTTCAACTTGTGATTTTTTTGGTACGAAATCCAGCATATCGATCTCGTTTGCTGTGACATACTGTGATTTTATGTCAGTAAAATAATAATAATGAGGAGGAGGAGGAGGAGGAGGAGGAGGATTTAAAGGTCGAACTGCAAAGACTGGCACAAGCCAGTAAAGGTGGTCCCAGTGGTGATCGGCACACTGGGTGCAGGGTGCAGTGCCTAAAGACCTTGGCCTGCACTTGAAGACAATTAATGCTAACAAAATTACCATCTGTCAGCTACAAAAGGCCACCTTACTAGGATCTGCACACATTATTCACCTATACATCACACAGTCCTAGACACTTGGGAAGTAACCGACATGTGATCCAATACAACAGCCAGCAGAGTGATCTTGTTTGCTGTGGACTCATCTTGTTGTGTTTCAAATTATTATTATTATTATTATTATTATTATTATTATTATTATCCACATGAGCACTAGCAGTGCATCTTTGCTATAGAAGTAATGTAGTTTGACACCACCTTAACTTCCATGGCTTGCTGCTGTGGAATCCTGTTATCGGTAATGTAACGAGGCCCCAGCACTATTTGCCAGTTAAAGTGGTGTCAAACTGCATTAATTCTACAATGTAGGTGCATACTCAGGATTTGGATCTCTAGCTGTTTTTCCTTTTAGCTTCCCAAGTTCCCAATCAATGTGACTAATTGTCAAGAATTCTGGAAGTTGAGGTCCTCAAAAATCTAGAGGGCCAATGTTGTCTTAGGCAGTCCTAGCATGTGCATTGAGTGTGGCACAAATGTTATCACAGAGTAGATAAGGTGCTGTAACTCCAAAATGACAGTAGATATTGCTATCCTACAGGTGAGACTTCACTATCAGCAGATGCCTGGTGAACAAGAAGAAAATGGGACATCTCAGCAGCATCTACATCTTCTTGAAGCTTTGCATCAGTTAGCCAACCTGGGCCTCCCCCTTGACAAGCTATGGGAGAGCCTGAAAACTGGTTTCCCATTCCACCAGAAAGTTACTGAGTTGGAAAGCCGACAACAGACTTTGGAGAACATTGTCTCTGTCCTGAGTCGGGAGCTGGGAAGAAGAGAGGGAGTCTCTGGAGTCACGCTGGGGGAAGCCATGGCCAGGATCATTTATCTAGAGCAAAAGGTAAGAGATGGTCTCGTAGCTACATAGGCTTCAGTCTCACGATCTCTGTATGTTCCTTCAAGTCATTTGTCAACTTCTGGTGTCCCTGTAAATGTCAATGGGCTTTCTTAGGCAAGGAATACTCAGAGGTGGTTTTGCCAAGCTCTTCCTCTGAAATCTAGTCTACAGTGCATAGTATTTTACAAACTTCCACCTAAGTCCTGACCAGGATTGTCTTTTAAAAAAAATATTTTTATTGAAATTTTCCAAATACAGTGATTATGGGAGAGTCAGTTGTGGGGTGAAAGATGTTGGGGGAGGGGAGTTGTGGCGCAGCTGGCTGAGTGTCAGCTGCATTAAAGATCACTCTGACCAAAAGGTCATGAGTTCGAAGCCAGCCCGGGCTGGAGTGGGTGTCCAGCCATTGTGTAGCCTGTTGTTGACCTTTGCAACCCAACTAGGACGAAAGACAGTTGCATCTGTCAAGTAGGAAAATAAGGTACCACCTTGTGTGGGAGGCTAAATTTAACTAATTTATGAGGCCATAAAGAAAGAAGACTCCGGGGAATGTGGAATGCGGAAGAACTTCATCGGTGTCGTTGATGGACGATGAAAAGCAGCAGCTCCCCTGGCGGCCAGAAAAAAAGTTAAATAGCCTTTGTCTGTTATAAATGTTGTCAAACTGGCATTGAATGTTTGCCATATATGTGTTTACTGTAATCCGCCCTGAGTCCCCTGCGGGGTGAGAGGGTGAGAGCTGGATGGTGTGGGGAGGGGGGGTCGTGACAATGTGTTTACTGTAATCCGCCCTGAGTCCCCTGCGGGGTGAGAAGGGCGGAATATAAGAACTATAAATAAATAAATAATAAATAATATTGCATATAAAAAGTAAAGAGTTTTTCTATAGCCCCCCCCCCCCAACTAAAGTTATTAATCTCTCTAGATTCTTGTTTTGAATTTGTATATTTTTGATTATTTGTTTTCAATATATTCTTCAAACATTTTCCAATCTGTTTGTCTCATTGGTCTCCCTAAATTCTTCCTTAGAAAGAAGGTTACGGTAATTTGTCCATATCTCTTATTTCAATTAATGTATTTATCCATTGTTCTATTTGAGGGATCTTTTCTGTTTTCTAGTATTTTGCATAGATTATACAGGCTGCTATGGAGATATATGTGAATAAAATGCCCCCATTTCTATCTAACTTTAGTTCATTATCTGTTAATCCTAATAGAAAGTATTCAGGTTTTAATGGGAACTTTCTCTTTAGGATCTTTTGGACTTCCTTTTGTTTTGATCTCCAGTATTTAGTGGCTTCTTCATAGGTCCACCATATATGGTAGTAGCTTCCTGTGTGTAGTTTACATTTCCAAGAGTTGTTTTGGATATTTTTATACATTAGTCCAATTTTTTGAGAGGGAAATAATCTGACCAGGATTGTCTTGTAGGCATACAACAAGGACATGGACAGGGGTCCTAATCAAAGTGTGGAGTTGTTCATCTCTCCTGCTCTTGGCCATGTCAGTGTTTCAGGCAATTGGACTACAAAGAACATTTGGCTCAACAGGGCTGTTTGTATCTTGCCCTTCTTCAAAAGATCCTCTTTCCTCTGCCTTTGTAGGCACTGCTTACATGACTGGCTGAATCCTACTGCCTGTGATTTTTTATCAATAGCATTTCAAAGCTGAGTATCATAAGGTGCTTGTGAACAAAAACCACATGAATCCCGAAAACCAGATGGGATGACAATATGTGCAAATGAAGCCAGGTTTCACGAGGATGAAGTAGCAAAAGGGAATTAGAAGCAGCCACTACCAAGAAAACAAAAAGTCAGGGAGTAGGAAGTATTTGGCAAGGAATCACCATTCTCATGTCAAATCTATTTGGTTATTCACATGCACTACTTTCAAATAAGATAATGGGTTCAGAGAATACTTGGCTCAGACATCCATTCAATCTGTTATTTAAAAAATCTTATTCCAAAAACCAACAGGAAAACAAGACAGAAAAGATAGTGTTCCAATTCTGTCGATTTCTTTCAACGTGACTACGAAACACTGCAGCTTATTTTCTTCCTATTTATCATTTGTTTACAAATATTTATAAACAGATGCCATCTGATCTTGTATCCGTGGATTCAAACTCCCCCACACACAAAAATCCAAAAAGCAAACCTTAATTTTGCCATTTTGTATAAGGGATAGCATTTTACAAATGTAAAGGGACTAGTTTATTCGAGTATTTTGGTATTCTCAGAGGGTCCTGGAACTAAAACCCAATAGTTCACTGTTTTTGAAAAACAGTGCACAACAATAATAAAGCACACAGTGAAAAGCAATACTGTATAAATAAGGACACGTTTAGTGTGGAATCAATTTGGTTGGCTCCAGAACCAAGTCTAAGCGGATTCCTCAACCAAATTGGGCCAATATGGATTAATATTTAGGAAAGTGTGAAATTGCTTTTTCTCAGTCTTTCCCATTCTATATGATGTGGGGATTGGGGAGGTACTTAGGCGATCCCTCGTAGTCTGAGGATGATGGTCCTCCAGGTTCGGTGTCCTGGGGGTGGGTTCGTAGGTGGCTGTGGAGCCCGAGGTAAAGGTAAAGGTAAAGGTTTTTCCCTGATATTAAATCCAGTCATGTCCAACTCTGAGGGTTGGTGCTCATCTCCATTTCTTTTCTTTTTTTTAACATAATTTTTATTGAAGATTTTATGACACCACACAAGGAAAGAGGGGGAACAATCACAAGGAAATAGAAAAGTAGGAAAACAAGAAAAATAGAGAAACACACACACAAATACAAAACAAAACAAAATAACTACCTAACCTAATCTAAAATGACTTCCACTCCAGCCTCAGGATCTTCTCATACTGTTTCTTCAACTTGCCTATCTATTCTTGTCTTCTCAGTCCTTTCTAAATTTCTTTTCATAGTCATAGAAAGAAGACCAATCTGTCTTCTTTAGCGATTTTCCGGTATTTTTTCTCATCAAAAAAGTTAATTCGTCCATGTCTCTTATTTCTTTAACTTTCTCCAACCATTCTTCTCTGGTCGGTATTTGGTCATTCTTCCAATATTTGGCAAAAACAATCCTTGCCGCTGTAGTAAAATATGTAAAAAGTTTATCTTCATTCTCGTCCAATTTAAAATCCGAGTCCGTGAATCCCAATAAGTAATATTCAGGTTTCTTTTTACACCTCTTCTTCAATATCTTTTGTACTTCCTCATGAATAATTACCCAAAACTTAACTGTCTCTTTACAAGTCCACCACATATGGTAAAATGTGCCTATTTGCTCCCCACACTTCCAACACTTATCTGATACATTTTGATACATAAGACTAAGTTTCTTTGGTGTCAGATACCATCTATAAAACATTTTATACCAATTTTCTTTCAGGTCCATGGCATAAGTATACTTCAACTTTTTATTCCAAATTTGCTCCCATTGTAGCGGGAGGTTCCCCATTTCCAAAAATCCAGGAGATCAGTGAAGAAGGAAGAGACAGAGACAGCTTTGCAAGTTCACAGAATTTTAATGCTTACCCGGGTAAGGGCGCCCCAGCTTCAACATGGCTGATGTGGCACAGAGCACTTCCCCAAAACACCCAGTATTTATAGCCAGAATTACCCAGTTCGCACATGCGTACAATTCACTTGACATTTACACAATCTAATCAATATCAGTTTGTCCTCGAATCGTGGCCAAGAACACTTGTTGGCAAGATCCTATAATTTCCACTACTTCCCCCTTACAGCATCTGACCACGTTCCCAGATGATTTACATTAAAGTGAATCTTTAGAATGAATCATAACTTCATATATTTCTTCACACATATTATATGATTCCATACATCTTCATATATGTATCTTTAACTTATTCGAAGCAAGCGTTTCCCTTATTAATTCTTCTTTTAATTACGTTTCACAATATCTTAATTTTCTCAATTGATCATTTAAAAGGTATATTGCCATTTACTTCAACCAGACAGGAGGTGGCGCTGTTATACCATATCTTCAGATGTTTGTTCTTCTTGGATCAATAATTATCGATTTGTTCTTGGCACCAACTCTTTAACTTTCTACATTTAGCCCATAGCCTTGGCTTCCTCAAATATTGACTTAAGATACGGCTTCTTGCCTTGTTCCTGTCCTCTATACCATCTGTTATTCTTCCCTTCCACCAGAATTACTACCAGAATTCTTCCTCCGCACTATTAGAAAACCCTTCTAAGGTAAAACTTAATTAATTTCATTAATTCCATTAGGTTATAATTATTTTTCTTCTTAATGACTGCCACATACCCCACAAAATCTTGTGACGAAGAAAACTTTCACTTTTCGGAGTCACACCCTAAGTGTGATTATATCACCTTATTTCCCCTGGATAACTGCTGCATCTCTTCTATCTCCATAGTCATAAGTTGTTTCAATTGACTTCCATGTCGGGCATTTGCCGCAGTAACAATTCTTTCAATCATATTTCT